CGATCTGATAACTCCAAGAGGCAAAAGGTCGAATTCGCATATATATATATATATATATATTTTTAAATTAAAAGTAACTTATTAGCTAATTTTATTTAAGAATTATTAAATCCGGCTATAAAATTTTATTAATTAATTTAGTTGAATATTAAATAATTGGTAAATTAATAATTGAAAAAATATTAATTTAGCACATTATTTCCCAACTCAAGAACAATCAAAATATTACTTAATCTAATATTAAATTAACGACTGTATTTAATATAAGCCCATTCAATTTTAAATTCGACATCGAAGAATTATAAATTGAAAATAAATAAAGTTTATGTTAAAATTTACTTTTTAAAAATAATAACAAAGCAAGTGGACTCTTTTTAAATTTTAAATACATTATATTCAAGATTTGAAACCCAATAGTAAAAAAGGAGTTAGAAACCACGTCCCACTATGCACTAGAATAACACGCGAGCCAATAATAAATATCCACGTGGCACATAGTACACGTGAGCTATCCAGCAACGTGCATCCACGGACAAAATACAAAAGCAAAGGAGCGTGCACCGTCACCGCCCAATCCAAAAAACATCATACAAGGTACACCACACGCGCTATCCAACGCGGCTGGGGCTTGTCGATCTACTTTCCGCCACCCCACTTTCATGATTGGTCCACCCGCAATCAATCATACAGCGAGAAATAGCTGCCCCAAAACCGCGGGGCTGGAAACGCAATTTCCAATACTTCCAGGGGGCGGAAACATAATTTAAGAATCCTAAAAATAATTGTGGCTTACGTTGTTTACTTTCTGATTGGTTTGTATTTCTGGTACACAAAACAAATCCTCCCCTAATTAGAAGTCTCTGAGAGATTGTTAATAAAAAACAAATTCTAGCTTGAAGAGGAAAAGGGGAAAAACCATTGTAGCTTATTTAGGAGGAGAAAAGGGGGACGCAGTAGAAGGAGAAATTTCAATTAGGTCAATTGGGAGAAGACAGAGAAGAGATCTGTTTTCGTTTTCGATCCGATTATCAAACCGAAATGGGTCTCTGGGATGCTTTTCTCAATTGGCTTAGAAGGTACGGTTTCCATCAATTTTTCGCTCGTGTTGATGAATTTTGTTTTTGATTTTTTGTTGAAAGATTCTGGTTTGTTTTTTTTTTTTTTTGAATAATTGGTTAAGCGTTGAAATTATATCCGTTGATTTTAATTGCTTGATTTTGCTCGGTGGTGTTCGCCTGGTGTTATTGTTAAATCCTTGAGGGATTTCAACTTGTGGATAAGTTTGATTGTAATTGTAAATTAGATTGATGGTGATTCATGTATGTGGGAATTTTTAAGCCTTTTAAGATTCTCCTGCAGATAATTGTTTTGTGTGATACAATGTAATGCATAGATGAAGCGTAGGATGTTTTCGATTAGCCGGTTAGAAAATTATAGGATTCATTAATTGAACTGTAGTTTGTAAGGTCTTTTACGAATAGCATGATACAATTTGGAACTTCAAAAAAAATACTTTAGGGTATCGAGATTTGATGCTTGATTGTGTTTTAAGATAAGTTATCATCTACGATCAGCCCTCGCCCCCTAACCCAACCAAACTATACAAGATGACAGTTTGATTATGTTAAATTGTGACGTTTGACAAAATATTAGAAGACACGAGGCAATGAATTATTAAGTTTATCATTGAACTTTCTTTTATGGCTTCCTAAACTAGAAGACACGAGGCAATGAATTATCTGCTTTTTTGTTCTATGACCGATATTGTATGGATTGCAATTAGTGCGTCGTCTAACCACATTAATAGATTTTGTCCGGAGTGTTAGTTGAAAACTCGATCAAAATTGTTGTGATGTCTGTTTGCTTATAGGTGAATGTCGTCCATGCCAAGATTTCTTGTTATATGCTATGTTCTCATTAAAACAAAAAAAAATTATGTCCTCGCAAATATGAACTGTTTCCGAGATTGGGGATGTCTACTTACAGTTATTTTAGTCGTTTAATTTTGATGTGAAATTGGTTTCCAGTGTACAGGCTCACGTTATTATTTTCCGATTGCAGCCTTTTCTTCAAGCAAGAAATGGAGCTGTCTCTAATAGGTCTTCAAAACGCCGGAAAAACCTCACTTGTAAATGTAGTTGCTGTAAGTAATCGTACCAACATCTTATTTCGTTTGCTATCTTTTATTTCGGTCAAAGTACTTTGCATTTACGTTCTTCTCCTCTGTTTTCTTTTTCTTCCTCAGACTGGTGGATATAGTGAAGATATGATCCCTACGGTTAGTTTTCCTTACGAAAAACCCTTGTCCCGTTTAATATGTAGTTATTCTAGATTTCACTTTCGATCACCTGAGCATTTAAATTTACAAACAAGAAACTGTTTCGACCCTTTCAGGTAGGATTTAATATGCGAAAAGTCACTAAAGGCAACGTCACCATTAAATTATGGGATCTTGGAGGTCAACCGAGATTCCGTAGCATGTGGGAGCGATACTGCCGTGCAGTTTCTGCTATTGTGTAAGCCAAACTTCTTTCCTCGGATGCAATTTTTTTTTTCTTTTATATGAAAAAAATGTAAATTATATATATGTCTGAACACGATTTGGTGCAGGTATGTTGTTGATTCAGCTGATCAAGACAACATAAGCATCTCGAAAAGCGAACTACACGATCTTTTGAGCAAACCATCACTAAATGGCATTCCTTTATTGGTTTTGGGGAACAAGATTGACAAGCCTCAGTCCCTATCCAAGCAGGCGCTAACCGATCAAATGTAAGTTAAAAAACAAATTCTCTTACACACATGAATTCAGCATTTTTAGTAATTTAAAACTAACTGCATTATTTAATGCAGGGGTTTAAAATCGATAACCGATAGGGAAGTGTGCTGCTTTATGATCTCGTGCAAGAACTCGACCAACATCGACCAGGTCATTGATTGGCTAGTTAAGCATTCCAAGTCGAAGAGCTAATTCGGCTCTGCACAATGTATTTTCTAGTTTTACTTTCTTTCTTCTTTCTCTTTTTTTTCGGGATTTTCAGTTTGTTGTTGTTCATGACCAGATTGCACATTCTTTCTTTCTGGCCAATGGGCTTGCTGCTTCTTTTTTTTTTCTTTTCCAGAAGTTGTCTCTGTATTATATCTATCAACTCACATTTGTTTGGATTGTGTTACTGAGAGGAATTTCTTGGGTATTTTTATGGCAATTGATTTCTTGTGCAATTTTTCTTTAGTGTTTATTTTGTTAATGAAATTCAAAATGGAATTATTCTCGGACTTAATTCAATATACATATATTACAAAAAAAAAAAAAACAATTTACAAATATTTCAAAAAAAATTAAATTGGGAGAAAATATTTTTGAAAGATGAATTTAAAAAAATAACAAATATATATTTTTTTTTTGAGTAAAAATATAATTTTATTTTGAGAAAATAGGATAATGTTTGGTGATTGTATTTATTTATTGAAAAAAAAAAAAAAACTGGAAAGCTTGCCGCTTCTTTCTGGAAACCTGGTTGAACTCATAACTTCCATGGAAGCTTCAACTGGAACCCCTTCGAGCTTCCCAAACCCTCCACCCCAACCCAACCTCGAAAAAATAAAGCAAAAACTCCTCAAATACGGCGTTCAGCCAACGCCCAGAATCCTCCATAATCTCCGCAAAAAGGAGATCCAAAAATCCAACCGCCGTCTCGCCAAACAGACCTCCAAGCTGCCGCCGCCCCTCTCCGACGCTCAGAGAGAAGCCGTTCTAGAAGAATCGCATTTCCGAACCATAAAGAAGGAATACAACAAATTCACCAAAAATGAAGCAACCGAGAAACTGGTGGGCAAACCCTGGGAGGGATTGGGGATGATTCAATTGAGAGAGCTCTCGATCGATAAAACAGATTACGAAAGCGAGCGGTTGAATCCGGAGCATCTGATGGAGCTGAGTGACATAATTGAGTGCGAGAGGGATAAATTTTCCTGGATTTTGGATAAGGATATCGACCTCGAAGATGGATTGTTCGAGAACGAAGGCAGGAAGTGGGCCCCCCGGCAACGCACCGAAGCCGAATCAATCAAATTTCTCGTAGATAGGTAGTATGTTTGTGATTTATTATATTAGTCCCCATGAATTTGGATTTCTGACTCTTGCTGGTTATTTTAATTTGTGTGGATTTAGGTTAAGTGCAACGGAATTGAGTGCGAAGGATTGGAAATTTACGCGGATGATGAGATATTCGGGGTTACAGTTTACGGAAGGGCAAATGATGAAGATAGTTAATGGGCTTGGGTATAAAGGGCAATGGAAGCATGCACTCTCTGTTGTGGAGTGGGTTTACACCTCAAAGGAGCATATGCATTTTAAGAGCAGGTTCGAAGATTCTCACTTTCTGCAATTTTTCGCAAAACGTCGTTTTCTTGTGTTTTTATTTCGTTTTTTTGTTTGATTGGGAATTTTAGGTTTGTGTACACGAAATTATTGGCGGTGCTTGGGCGAGCGAGGAAGCCTCGTGAAGCTCTTCAAGTCTTCAATTTGATGCGAGTAACGATTTTTCCTTGATTTTTTTCTTCTGTGTGTTTGTTTCGATTTTTGAGGCCTATATTAGTATATTAGTGAGTGTATGTGTGTGATGGAAAATTTAATCGTTGATTATATTATTAGGGCGATGGGCATATATATCCTGATATGGCAGCATATCATAGTTTGGCAGTTACATTGGGTCAAGCTGGTTTACTGAAAGAGCTGCTGAGTGTTATTGAATCCATGAAGATAAAACCGAAAAAGATTAGAAATATGAGGCGCAAAAATTGGAATCCTGAGCTTCAACCGGATAATGTTATATTTAACGCTGTAAGAGAGCTTGGAAACTTTTTATTTATTACAGGTTCTTTTGTAATTGATTTACGATTACGTCGTTAAATTGATTGGTTGTTTTAGGTTTTAAATGCATGCGTTGCAAAATGCCAATGGAAGGGAGTAGCGTGGGTTTTTCAACAGTTGAGAAAAAACAGCCTTAGACCCGATGGAGCAAGCTATGGGCTGGCTATGGAGGTAATTTTTTTTTTAATTCTATTTAAAATTTATTATACTGGTCGGTCTTACGATGTGGTTCTTTCTTTAAAAGGTGATGCTGAAATCTGGAAAATATGACCTTGTCCACGAGTTTTTCGGGAAAATGAAAAGAAACGGGAAAGCTCTAAAAGCCCTGACATACAAAGGTAGTGTACTATTTTCTCATTACAGACATTTTCTTGTTTCTTTTCTTTGGTGGTATGATAATCGTGCTTGTTTTCATTACCTAGTTCTTGTTAGAGCTTTCTGGGAAGAAGGAAAAGTCGATGAAGCAGTTCAAGCCGTGAGGGATATGGAAAGAAGGGGTGTAATTGGAACAGCAAGTGTATATTACGAGCTAGCTTGTTGCCTCTGCTTCTATGGAAGGTGGCAAGATGCTATTTTCGAGGTTAGTTTTCGGTTATGATTTTATTCGTAATTTACATTAGATAGTGTCTAAACTGAGATTAAGATAGTAAACAACAATGGGGTCGAGCCTTTTTAAGGAGATTCGATTGTATTACTGAATGAAATTGCATGATCATCCTTTGTTTTTCTTTTCGATTTATTTTATTTTATTTAAATAAAAAAAAAATACTGCAGATTAAGAAGCTAAAAGACCTTGGTCCAACGAGGCCTTTGGCGGTGGCCTTCACTGGCATGATAAAATCTGCCATGGATGGTGGGCATGTTCAAGATTGTGTATCTATCTACGAGCACAGCAAAACCCTAATATCCCCTGATATCGGTCTAACAAATGCCATGCTCAAAGTTTATGGCAGAAACGATTTGTTTCTTAAAGCTAGAGAATTATTTGAGGAAGCCACAAAAAACAATTTAGATTCCGAAATTATTCCAAAAAAAGCAGATGCATTTACTTTCGGCTCCATGCTCGAGGCCTCTGCAAGGGCCCTCCAATGGGAGTACTTTGAGCACGTCTACAAAGAGATGACCCTCTCGGGTCATCGATTTGATCAAAGTAAACACTCTGCCCTATTAGTGGAAGCTTCTATAAACGGAAAGGTACTCACGACTCCACTCTGTTTTAAGGCCTCGTTTGGTTACTAAGATAAAATTAAATAATCCAATAAAAATCCAGTTATATAATTTGACCATGGGAGGTCCAATAAATAATCTTTCAATAAGTCGAGAGAAGGGTCGACCCGGAAAATTATTTGTGTTTGCTAAACATCAAACAAAGTTCAATTATTTAGTTAATCAGTATAATCTGCCCAACCAAACAAGGACTAACATTACTAAAATCTTGATTTTTTTTTTTTTTTTTGTGACGTAGTGGCATTTGCTGGAACATGCATTTGATTCGATTTTGGAAGCTGGGGAGATACCTCATGTGTCGTTCTTCACTGAGATGATGTGTCAAGCTACTATTCGACGTGACTATGACAGAGCTGTGAGTTTAGTCAACGCAATGGCCCACGCCCCGTTTCGAGTTGGTTTTCAAGATTGGATTAATCTATTCGAGGAAAGGATCAATAAGGCTAATTTGATTGAACTGCAGGAAAAACTCTTTAGTTGTGATATAGTGAAAGAAGCCACGGTCTTGAATTTGACGAGAGCATTGCAATTCATCTGTGGAGACTCGTTACATTCAATAGAAATTCCTGAAGATAAAGACAGAGATTCTGATGAATGGTCTGGTGGTTTGTCTAGATTGGCTGAGGATTTTGAGGACGATTTGGTAATCTCGCCGTCTTATTACGATGAAGGGAGTGACTCGGATATTGACGAGTTCAACTTCGAAGATGTTGTCCCGAGCGGTGAAGCTGATGGTTTACGCGAATCTGGTGCTCCTTCGGCCTTGGAAATACTGGAGACTTGGAAGGCAAAGTGAAGACAATTGGTATTTATTTGATATTTATAAAGAATTTAAACACATTATATGGTCAGATAAAAAAAAAATTAACCCATTATGATAAACACTAAATAGATTTTATCCAAAAAAAAAAAAGATTAAATACTAAATAGATAACAAATGCCTTTCTGAAAACTCCACAATGTCCTCCATAATTTCGAAAATCCCCACCAGAATGGTCATCTGCCGGAGCCTCTGCACACGCAAAAGCTGGAATATAATGGATTGCCGGCGGGCTCTTAGACCTCGATAATCGAGCGCCACGATTACGTCGTCTTGCTATGCCACAAAATGGGAATCAACCACTACGGCCCCGCGGTCTCTGCACCCGGCCCGTAGTCCCCTTTCCGGTGGCGGCACCACCCCCGCAACCGCAAAAAGAGAAAATGGCATTCGATGTGAAATTGAAGAAATTCGACCCCACATCGAAGCTTAAGGTGATGAAGGAGATTAGGGCTTCCACAGATTTAGGTCTGTGGGAAGCGAAAGATTTGGTGGAGAAAAGACCGTCAGAAGTGAAGTAGACACGGCCACGGGCCGGTTCATACCGGTTCACTTTTTCCAGAACCGGAACCGGCCCGTAATATGCACGGTTCGATGGGCTGGGTCGGCCCGCCGGTTCGGGCCGGTTCCGGGCCAGTTCCGGGTTGGCCCGGAAAATTTGAAATTTATTTTTATTTTTTTTATTTTTTATTTTTGAAATATTTGATGAATAAGTAAATTATAGGAAAAATTGGGGGTATTTATAGGAAAAATTGTGGGGGGGGAATTAAAAAAAAACAAATAACGGCCGGTTCACTAGCCGTTATTTGCTTTTTTTGAATTTTTTTGATTTTTTTTTTTTTTTAAATCCGGGTGAACCGCCGGGCCGGCCCGGCGGTTCACGGTTCACCATTTCATAGAACCGGGCCCGTCCCAGGGACGACGGGCCGGTTCACGGGTCCCGGGCCGGTGCACCGGTCAACGGGTTGGGCCGGGCCGGTTCGGACCGGTTCCGGGCCCAAAACCGGCCCATGGCCGTGTCTATGAAGAAGGATGTTTACCAAAGAGGAGGCTGAATAAATGCAACTCTGAGATTAAAGAAGAAATTTTGGTTTCATTTTGTATGTACCTTTCTCAAACTCGACATTAGTTACTTCACATATCATTTATAATGAAGCCAACGCTCGATTTCTTGGTAAATCACTGATGCCGAAAACTTTGGAATAAAAATCGAAATATAGATCAACTCTAACATACGATTGAGATACCAAGTTCACTTCCCCTCGCAAGTAAGTATTCGTCAACAAACTGTTGGACATGTACAAAAATTCTAGGGTTTTATAGTACTGCAACAACTTATATACATCATGTAAACAAGCCTTGACAAAGGACAAAAGGGTCCGTCCCAACTTCGAGATTCAATTACTGCCACCCTGATTTCTGCATAGCCATGAAAAAAAAAAAAAATCAGTATCAACTAATTACTCGAAAGAAAATTAACTTTGCAGCTTGCAGGTATTCAAGTTCAAGGATCGACATTTACCAGACACGGATAATTTGACAATTGAGCGCTTTCTGAGCCGCATCGGCAAAACACTGAGCAGCTTCTGCTTCTGCCTCAGCCTCCTCCGCTTCCCTTGCCGCTGCTTCAGCTTCTGCAATGGCAGCTTCTGCTTCTGCAACTGCTTTTGCAGCAGCTGCAGCAGCTTCTTGTGCGCTCATGCCTTTCATTTTCTCCAGCTCAGCATCAATCTTGGCTTTCGTAAGAAGTACAACACTTTTTCCCGCCCCATCTGAAGATTCCTTCTTATCTCCGTTTTCAAGCAACAATTGTGTCGGCTCTTTTCTTGCGGCAAAAGATATCGACTTTGGTGCTATCCTGTATTGATGCTTCACCTGTCAAACAAGACACAATACAAATGAAAATTCGAAAATAAAAAAAATGAAAAAAATAAATAAATAAACGAGCAAGCATAAAAAAGATGGTTGTTACAAAATGGAATACCTTAACTAGTCGTCCGTTTTCGGTCAAACTCTTCAAATTTGTAGCCAAGTTTCTTTCAAAATCTTGAGTTGCTGGATAATGATCCTACCATATATACACACCACAAATGATGTTTTAACAGTTAGAAAAGTTCGAAGGCTGTTCACATGAAAATCGAATATACATCAGATACCGACTCGTTGTCAATTTTATTAATTCTATAAGTACGCTTCTCCACCAAAGATTGAAATTATCACCTCAATATACTGTGAAATTGCTGCCCGACTAGATCCACGAGGCTCCTTCAACTTCGCTATAGCTTCCATTATAAAATCATCCAGCCTACATGCCCAGAAAGCCCCCAAAACATCTAATTAAACATCTAAAAACATAATTTATCGTTTTTTTTCATATAATTATATATCATTCAAACCTCGAGATTTCTTTTCCGGAACCTGCATCCTGCGATGTTTCACTAGAAGTTGCAAGGGTAGTTACATCAACAACTTCAGAATCCTTCTCAACTATTGCATCACCTGCTGCAGTTTCTTCATCTTGCTTGGGCGTTGTTGTAAGCTGAAGGCTTTTACTCGGAACCCTAGCTCTGTGCCGAGATCCCATTCCATTTGCCATGCAATTCAAATTTCTCCATTTGTCCTATCAAGTATCGATAAAGATGAAACAATCAAAAACATATTTTAAAGTAATCAAAAGCAAAGCACGAGATAAAAGGAAACGAGTTAGTAGTAGTTAATACCTTAAGGTCAACATTGGAGCGCGAGTGCAAGACTGAGCTGAATTCTGGATCTTTGAGAATGGTGCTCCATTTTCCTAGTCCGTATTTGTGAATGCCAGCTTTTAGAGCAGCTTCTTCTTCCGATGTCCACTTCTGCTTAGGCGCACCCATTATACCGACTCGAGATCTTAATACCTACTGAGAACTAGACCAATTTAAGACATAAACTATGCTGTCAAGAATCATATCTGCAAGATGAAGAAACTGCAACCGACAACTTCTGAATTTTAACCACGTTGGTAACTTTAATCGGCCAAATCATTAACAAATCCAGAATTTCTAAATATTTCAGTATTAGGCGACTCTTGAATCACACCTTATCGAATTAATATCCAAAGCAACAACCCTTTTAAATTTACATGACAAACTCTGAGATGGACGATAATTGACAGCCAAGCAATGAAAAAACTTTAATCTACAGCTAATGCATTTGGGTTTCGGACATTCTCCAGATGAAGAACAACAGATACAAAATCTCTAATTCATCATTTGTTGATGCGCAGAGCAAAATCTTATAAAAAAAAAAAAAAAAAAAGAAGCCATAAATCAATTCATACCAATACCTAAAAATCACTTATTCAGAACAACATCAGCTATTTACATGAAATGCACAAGCTATTAATTTTCCAAGTCCAAATTATAAAAGAAAATGTTCCGAGATTAAATCAGCCATTAATTTACAAATCAAACCCCAATCAAAATTCTGCAGAATCACATGCACAAATGAAACGGAAAACATCTCGTGGAAGAGGAACATGCCAATTCATAAAAAAAAAAAAAAAAGAAAAAAAAAAAAAAAAGGTGTACCTGTCAGTGATTTAGAGTTGAGAAATTGAAAACCGCAATTGAAATTCAGGCCATATGAGAAACAATTGAAGCCCTAAAAGGGAGGAACGAGTGCGAGAATGAAGAGCGCCGAACAAATTGAGGAATATTTTTCGTGTTCTCTTGGCCCTTTGTCTTTCACTTAGCACCTGGCCACAAAAACCCCTCTCTCTGTCTCTTTTTGTTCTGGAAGAAGCAGCTACGCCTCTGTACTTAGTCAAAATTGCAACCTACATTTTTTTTTTTTTTTTTTTTTATTTTACTGTGGCGTACCTTTTTGTATTTTAATATGATTTCTTGATTTTAATTATTAGGATAAATTACAATCACCTCCTTGAAATAAAGTGTAATTACAAAACCCCCGATAAAATTGTTAAATTGCTTTTAGACCCTCTGATAAATTTGATAAAATTTCCATTCCCCCAAATAATCAAATCCCCAAACAGAGAGAAACAGAAAATCCATCTTCCTGCAAGTGAATCGAGCAATCGCGAAATGGCAAGCTCTCTGCAACGGCTGGCTGGTAATTCAGGCAAGGCTTATCGATCGGCTTTGTCCTCATTTCCGAGAGCTTTCTCCACCGGAGATTCGTTGGTGGAAATCAAAGCCGGCGAGATCGGTATGGTCTCCGGTATCCCCCAAGAGCACCTCCGCCGGAAGGTATTATATTATTTTTCCCCTTCTTCTGTCAGATTGAGTTGCAACTGTTTTCGAATAGACAGATTAATTGTTTTTCTTCTATATTTGTTCATCTTAATTTTTTTTCCTGCATTTTTTAATTCAGTAGCTATAATTATAATTAGTTTGAGATTTAGGTGAAATATTTCTCTGAGTTAATCTTTTATTGAGATAGGTTCTGATTGTGTCACCTGCTCGAACTGCTACTCAACAAGGATCCGGAAAGGTTGGGGGATGGAAAATTAATTTCATGTCCACACAGAAGTATACCTCTCTCTCTCTCTCTCTCCTTTTTTCACTTTAGTTATATATATATTTTTTTCTTTTGTTTGCTCTTCTGATCTATATGCAATTCAAAATTCCATTTATTCTTGAGATGAATGAATATCAATGGGGTCGGCATTAGCTGACAACCATGTTTCACTCTATGGAGTCTGTTCTCAGTCTATTTGGATATTCGCAATTCAACTTCCTTCTCTTAAATTGATAATCTTTATATTCCTGATTTTGGAGGATGGTTGAATTTACATTTTTTTTTTATGTCGATAGCTTTTGCATGGATTTACATTGATAACACTTTACTGATAGCTTTTGCATGATCATAGTTAATCTTGAAGTCGGAAGTAATACTGCTTATCTCTATAATCAGAAAATATGTAACTATTGCAGATGGGAAAATCCATTGATGGGTTGGACTTCCACTGGAGACCCATATGCAAATGTCGGTGATTCTGCACTAAGCTTCGACAGCCAAGAATCTGCGGTATCATTTGCTGAGAGACATGGTTGGGAGTACACGGTACGGCCTATTATATTTGTACTCCCAGTGAACAAAATTATTTTAAGTTCTATGCATTTACATCTTTATATCTTCCGTTTAAGGGAGGGGGGTTAGTTCTTGAACATTTTCTTAAGTTTTGCAAATAGTGTTTAGACCCTCTACCGAGTGGGACAATATTGGACACAACATTTTGTATGATTCATTTTTGGCTCTCTTGGAATTTTAAGAAACAGACTTCTATTTTGCAATTTCTGACATTCACTAGAACTGGTGGCAGCTAGATAGATGTTTTTTTTTCTGTTCATTTTAATAGGTGTTTTCCCTGAGATTGTTCCACATTGTTGCAGTGTGGCATTATTCCAATAATAAATTCTTAATTATGAGTACCTTGACATGAAGATGACATACAAGAATGACGTGATCATTCTAGATAATTTCTCTATTTATATCCTAGCTTCTACTGTTGTGTCCAGTATGATGCTTGTAGTGCGAGAATCTGATTGATAAGCATTTTTTATGTGATAGTCGTTTATAATTATCAGCATTAAAAAGAAACCACATCGTCTCATATCTTCATATTGCTTTTCATTTTCAGGTCAAGAAGCACCAGACTCCCTTATTAAAGGTTTGATATTCTTCTTAAATATGCTTCCTTGTTTTAACTGGAATTTTATTTATATGAAGTGAAAAATTTCCTGCATGTTCGGAGTACTGTGAATTCATGTTTTCCAAAATGTAAAGAAAAGAAAATTGAAGTCGGTTTATCTGAAGTTCCACAAAGCATTATAAGTGACTGTTTTGGTCCTTCTTTAATACTTGGATAATACTGATGAATATCAGTATATTTCTTGTCAAATGAAAGAAAAAATAAAATGTATTTCCTTCGCCAAAATAAAGTAAAAAACCGAGTTCTATCATCTGACTTTAGACTACTCGTCTTGTTCTTCTGGCAGGTGAAGACATATGCTGATAACTTCAAATGGAAGGGTCCTCCGAAGACAGAGGAGAACTAATTTTAACTTCCCAAATGTCTTTCCTTCTCGAGCTGCCATAAGATTCGGTACTAAATGTGTTGAGCAAACTGAGATTCTTGAATTAATAAATCATATAAACCTTCCCGTGACATCTCGTGTTTCTTTAACTTGAATAGATTGTTTTATTCTCGTCGCATTTTGTTTCATCATGTGTGTTAATTTGTATAACAACATATGTGGGGTTCTTCGTTGATTTCCCGACTAGAAATAATTGTTAATCTCTTTGGCTATTTTGGCTGTCATACCAGAGTAGTTAAACGTCGCTGAACTGGGTGAATATTGAACATCATTGAAATCAAATGGAACAAGGGAGAAGGAGAAACAAACTATTTATTATTAATTTACTATACAACATTCCCCCCACGTAATTTTGAAAATCACCTGAGGTAAACATATTTCAGACGATACCATGTACAGTTATATCCGACCAAATACGAATACAATAAACTCATGCAGGCGTGTGATATCCAATAGCTAGAGGCCAAGTGCAATTCGAAGACATAATAATGGGACAAAAGACCAAATGAAACAGTTTTAAGCTTGATTCTTTCCCCTTAATATCCTATTTTTTCATTGCCAAAAAACTCAACCGGAACACGAAGATGTTACGACACACAGGTGCTTGTACTGTTGTCCAATGGTGCAAAAGCATTTGGACGAACGCCGCTCTTATCAGGTACAAGTTTCTTCATAAAATACTTGGATCTACGAGATATGTTGATCTTTTTCCTCCTCTCCTCTGGTATGTAATCGATCGAGCACTCAGAGAAGCCACGCCTTACAAACCTGTTGTAAAATTGTATAATTTCAAATCAAAAGCACAAGACATGAAATTTGTCCCCTAAAAGCTGTATCTATTCACACATACACACACTATTCTTCAATAATTTGGAAGAAACAAAAATAGAACCACAATAACAAGAAACCTCTCTGCTGGCTGTATACCATCCGGCATCCAATAACAAGTTACATGAAACTCTGATTGGGATTTTTGTAACAACATTTTTGTCTATGGTTCATTGCCTATCTGATGGTTCCATTACACATGCATAAAAAAAGGCTAGTTTCATTTTTGATCGAATGGCAGTACGGGAATTTTCTCCACGATGACTTCTGATTTCAGCGTATATAGTTTAGGGTGCTTTAATGATTCACTGTTTTTTTTTTCATTTTGAATGAATGTATATTAAATGGCGAATAATGTGTTTTAAATCACTGGTCGAGCTCATACTTTCATCGTTATTGTTATAAAACAAAATCTTGAACTGATAAATAAGTGAGATTACTAGGATCAGAATGGCGTACCAATCTGCCATACGTGTTGTCAGTACGAAAAGCATTTGCAGTCCACGGGAAGATGCCTTCTTCTCTATATAATCTGAACCACATTCAACAAAGAAAAAATCATCTACGAATCCAAGTTCTAAATCTCTAATTGACCTTATACTGAAAGATGCCTATGAAACATCTATTATGGGTTCATGCACTAACAGATGCAATAAATACAACGTTAACAAAAACAACTCAAAGAGACGGAAAGTCCTCCAGTCATTACCTAGTAACTTGTCTCCCCATCCTTGTCCTCGGCATTCAGGAGAAACAGCAAAAGCAGCTATCTCTCCACACTTGTCTTCAGAGAAAGGAAAAAGACCTGCACAAGCAATGACATGACCTTCTCTTTCAACGACTGTGAACGAATCCAACGCTTCAAGTAGCTGCACTCCGAAAAATGTAATCAAACTCACAAAAATTGATACGCAAAACATTTCAAAACAATAAAAATAACATGGTAGGTCACACGTGCAAACCTCTTCCTTGGTTCTCTTTATCAAAGTGCCAGATTCCTCTAAAGGTAGCAAAACTTGTGTGATTCCTTGAAGATCTGTGCCCCTAGCCATCCTCATCCCTTCATAGAGATTGCTGTGGATTCGGTAGAAAATATTCATTAACAGAACAAACAATTTAAGGGAAAACGAAAATATTAACTTCGTAATATGGGAAGATATCGATTAAAAGAGGTAGAGACCTAGCAACCATTGTACCAACTCCGTCTCTTTGAAACAATTCTTTCAGTAAAACTCCACCGGTAGTGCCATCCAATAAATGAACTCGCTGAACACCACCCTGATAACATTAAGTTATAGATATAATAAGAAAGTTTGCCCCGATATTCAAATGGAAACTGGTATCAACACAGTAATAAACAAGGATAACTAGCAGAATACACAATTTGTTACTGATTAGGAGATAATCATTAAATTCTGGAAACTTACTCTACAAACAAAAGCTGCAGCAGCTAATTCAGAAAGATAACCATTTAAACGACTCGCTCTTTCTTGGCCTCCAATGGCAAAACCCTGTTCATTGGACCAAAATCCATTCCCACTGTCAAAGCCAACACCATTTTGAAACTTCGGAGACTGACCAAATGCCTTCACGTTTGGAGAAGGGACTGTATAATTTGAATTATCGCAAGCTAGAGAAGCAAGATCTTCTTCAGCAACAGCTTTTACATAATTTGCGGCAGTCTCACTTTGTTTAGCTCGTTCACGAATTAATCTGTCTGCATCTTGAAGAGATAAAAAACGAATACGCCTTCCGGATTCGTCTAGAATTGGTCCATCTATGACGCAAATGAGTTTCTCTGCTCCAAGAGCCATCGCACACGCTGTAGCAACTTCATAAGTGCTGCAATATAGAAGAGAAATAAAACTGGTTATAGGACTCAAAAAATTTTTGGTTTCTATATAGATAACTCATATATAGAAGTAAAAGCACATTTTAGAGAAGTTTTCTACGACACCACTCAACAAGCATGTCCAATTCATCATGCATATTGCTTAAGACAGAATAAAAAGAAAACGGAAAGCATTCTTTTGAACATCAAAATAAACGCATATTAAACAAGGACTCCTCAATAGCGCATCATGTGTTTTGGTGAAGGGAAATTAGTAGAAGGGTATTCAATTTAACAACAAAAGAGAAGCATAAATTTTCTACAGAATATTTTGAGAATTCATTAAACTTATCCTGCACACGGCAAGAGATACCTATCAAAAGCGGTAGAGCGTACTTGCAATTTAGCACTTCTCCAGAACTTGAATAACCGAGATCACTTAAGAGAACTATGCTGTCTTGATCAAGCCTCTCACGAATACGAGGAACATCAATTTTCTTGACTTCACCAGTTGACGCATAATCAATCCCGAACACTACTCCTCTTCTCTGCCGAAAGAACAATATGACATCTCATCATAGAAGCAAAAAGTAAGAAGAAGAAAAAAAGAATACAGTAACTAGGGAACAAATTTAATAAAATAAGCAATACCACATTGATTAACTTTAGTTGGAAATTCACTCCAGAAATTGGTGAATAAATAATCTTACCTTAGCAGCCAGAAAATTACCACTGGCAACACTGACACCATTATACCAGTGATCCTTGTCTCCATGACGACGAACACCACTTAAAGAAGGCCTGGGTGATAATTTCATCTCAATAATAGTACGAATCCTACCCCATACATCCATTGCAGCACTAAGAGAATCGGAGTCTGTTATTCGGTAGCTACCAACAAATTTGGGTTCAGATCCTGACAAGAAAGAAAAATATGTTGGTACACACGACCGAAACAACGAAAATTCTCATTTCAGCAAGAGCTAACTGTTAACATTTTGGGGAAAAGAACCCAATTGTGATGAATAAAGGTCAATTAAGTTGCAGCATTGAGAAGAGAGATGAAATCTGAACTTGATCAGGGGAAGCAAAATGCGGTGAATTTGATTACCTCTTTCGACGAGAAGCCTGTCAATCTGAACATGAGTGCCAGGAACAAGTACGAATTTGATTCCCAACCCATGGAGCAAAGAAATATCCTGCACAAAGGATCCACATAACAACATAATCACAAAAATGCCAAACCAGCAACTCATTTATTCATCTTGGATGTTAAAAAGCAACACATACATACAACATAAAATATTCAGAAGAATTATGGGGGAAAAAGAAAACAACGAAAGGAGAACAACGTGCCATTAGAATGTGATCCAAATGAGGACTATCGACAATCTCGGCAGATATTAAAACCACGAAAGTGCTGCCTCTGTGAGCCAGAAAATACGGCCACGCCTCCCGAAAGAACCGCACGAACAGGTCATCTTTAACAATTGCTCCCGTACTGTCTGCATCTCCCAATAGATTGATTTTCTCCTCGCAGCAGCTACTGTTAACCTCGATATTCGAAACTTTCACCGATTGGATTCCGTCAGAATCAATTTTCGGAATAAAAGTAACGCTAGGGGAGAAAGTAGATTTACGAAGAAGGCGGTGGTAGTTTCGTATCGGAATGCCGGAGCTTAGAGATGCGGCAGCCATTGTTGGATTAACTGTCCCCGAGAATCGCGGTTGATCAATTGGTAACTCGGTGAAAAAAGTAAATCTATGTTAACCAGTGTTGCCGGCGATGGGAATGGCGGCAAAATGACGGGGATTGGGGTTCCGGCGGGATGGTTGAGTGGTTTTCTGGTGAACGGCCATTCTCGAATGAAATGTTTTGTTTATTGGGTTTATTTATTGATTCTTAGGTTTGAATTGAGTGAGAGAAAATCTGGTTTGAAGTAAATGCAGTTGAATTTTACACATAAATTAATTACTTGCCCTTTATTTTAAGAAAGTGCTGACAATAACAACACTTCTAATTCATTATTAATTCATTTTTCGTATACCAAAATTTCAACACGTGCAAATATAAATATGATTTTTATCAATTTCAAAATTATTTTAAAGTAATTTAACTGAATAGGTAATTAGGTAATATTTCGAGGTAATTAAATAATTTTTACAAGCGGTAATTAAATATTTTTTTACAAAATACAAAAATCGAGACCAAGTAAAGCTTACAAACGTCTAATATCAACAGAATGCTTTAGCAGAAATTCACCAAACACATTCAGATATGCATTGATCAGTCAATTTAGCTAGTAAATGTTTGTAACAAGTGATTTAGGTCAACTGGTCAGCTTAATCAGAACACACACATACAAAAGAACCTTAAAACCATCGGAACCATCTCGTCTGCCTATCGGAAGTTTCTTTCTTCGGAGCCAAGGTAATCCTATCTGCATGTGAAACGGCCCACCTGCTAAAATCCGGTGAAGAAACAAGCTCTTCTAGAGCTTTCCGTGTGGAGTCTTTAGTGAATGATTCCCATTCACCCTTAGTAAATTTTCTTCGATCGGGAGTTTCGTGGAAGGTTGAATAGAAAGCATTTGAATCCGACAATCTTGTAGGCGATTTACTCAATGAACCTAATAGAAAAAAAAGTCGTTATAATTTATAGTAATTGCAATTTCGTGATCAAAGAAAAGCCCACCTCGAACTGGACTGTATGGAGCTCTAGTGGAAGGCCTGGAGGCAGACATTTTGGAGACTGGCGACGTATAGGAATCCAGAGCTTCTCCGAGATTGAGCCCACGCAAATTCCTGTGAAGATTTTTTATTTTATTTTTTTTCACATAAAAAGAAATCGAAGAAACGGTAGTTTGAACAAAAATGAAAAGCATAACTAATTTACTAAAAAAATCTCACTTGTAGACGCGACGAATGACCTTTCGATGGGCAAATCTCCTCAGCACTGAAGAAACGACAATTCCACCTAACAATGCCTCTGCTGCCAACAATGGATCTACGGAACTCTGAACCATATTTTGTACATTATTTCATTTCTTCTCAAATGGAGAAAATTACAGTGACTCATAGGTAACGGGATATTATGTTTATTATATTTGTTAATAAAGAGATAGAAACCTGAAGGATCATGACACAGGCAACAATTCGAATTGACCAAGTGACGAAATGAGATACACCAATATCAATAGAGCCATCCTCTGTGAGAACGAGTTTGCGTACGACCCAAAAACCCAGCCAAGCTCCGGTAATTGCAAGGGAAACCAATAGAAATATAGCCAGCTGCATCATACAAGTGGCAGCACGTGTTAGCAGTTAGCACAATGAGTAAAACACTGTCTTCAATACAGAGAAAAACAGAGCATCCAATAATATATATTCTTTTTAATCAGAAGGATTGAAGCGAGAGATGTGACTTGAAGTTGAAATAATGGGACAGAGGAATATAGCTGGTATGTTGTTCGTACATAACATATATTGAGATTAACCAACTTTCCATGAAAAAAAAAAAAAAAAAACAGAAAAAGATTGTTTCATTCAGGATGCATTTGATTCCTTAATATTTTGCTTAGGAGTAGTTTAAAGTGGTGATCCTCTTTCGAAAATTACGTAAGATCGTTTCAGAAAATTTGAACAGATAGAGCATACGGAAGAATGGACATTTCAAGTAATACACACCTGATTGTATAGTGTGCTCTCAACATTTAATTTGGACGGAGTTTCTTAACTAGCGACCCAATGTGAAACCAAGTTCGACAACTCATTTATTAGCTTGATGGAGTTGGCCTTATAATACTAGTATATATACCTAAAGCTTGAATATGCATAGAATAAAAGATATTTTGCAGCTTTGCAACTGTTGCATGATAATCTATTCATTAGGAGAATTTGCTATGAGAAACTTACATACAGGATTGTACATGTCTTCAGAAAGCCCGATCTCTACCAAAAGTGATCGCAACAATCCTGGCAAATAGCGAAGTAGAAAAGATCCCAAACCAACCTGAGCACAAACGAACCAATTACTCATTATCACGGAAAATCACCAACATAAAAGATAAAAAGAATAGGATGCCCTGAGATACGAATATACATACAAAGCACGAGTACAGAAATATTGCAAGTGAACTCTTCCGACCAGTTGGAAGAAGCTTCATCCCCTGTCAATGAACTTAAAAAATAGTTAGTGGCCGTAACATGAAAGATGAAAACACTAAGCGATAAATATGATTTTATGTAGCATGTAATAATACTGCTTGGTTGTGAACGTATGTCTATGTACAGAATCCTTGAACTTAGAATATGCATATCACTCGACAAATATTCACCGAATAGTTGCAGATCATTTGTTGATAAAGATAAATGTAGTAACCTGGAAAAGGACCATTAAGATCACAAGGAAAATCCCTATAATCATAGCACCACTGTAGTAGAAAACTAAGGATTTGCTGAGCCACGACGCCACACACATCAAAGCTGTTCCCAAAACAAGGAACAATACCCGGTACGCAAAAAATTCTGCAGAAAGACATCAAATATAATTTAACAACAAAGAAAAGGAAAAAGATAACAAAAGACTACGATGAAGTGGTCATGGGCAACAACAAACCTTCATCGATAGACACCTCGAGATTTTCTGAATAAGATGCCACAGTTCTTACATCCAAGATTTTGTGATCAAAAGGAGACATCGACTTAATCCATAATCCCTTATTAAGCCGTTCCCACTGGTCTTCAGGGCACATCCCTACCGCAAGAGATACATTCCTGAGCAATACACCTTAGCTCTAATATATACGTATACAAAGTATTTTTCCATACTTCATTATGATGTAATGATGATATTATGCAATGACTTGACAGAAAATCGCTATGACAAGGTGTGAGCCGTATAATGTAGTCTGGTTTGACGAACTCACCTGTGGAAACAGATCTCGATTTTTGCAGCATAACCACTTTGGTTTTCACATGAAACTTTAACCTTCATGGAATTAGCAAACTTGCTCATGTGTTTAATCCTTGGCAAACCATGAATTAGAACTCTCTCGCATTTTACTTTAGCTCCAGGCTTGAGACCTGGAGATTTTTCTACTACCAGGGTTGGAGATAGCTGCAGAGTCGTAGGCCCGGAAACAACTGCAAAACCAAAGAGGTAAGATAAAGATTAAAGGATTGTAATATATGCATAAATAAGTAAATACAAAGAACCAATTCAAACTCAAATCGTGTTGAGGGGGACGAATTCAAATTCTCTGGAAAAATCAAATTTTACAGAACCAATTCCCGCTAGATTAACAAACACAAGCAGGTATTGAGAAAGGAATACAAAGAATTCTACAAAACTAATCTACAAACTGATACCAAAACCTTAAAAACCCAAAATAATGCACAAATTAAATCACGCATCACAAATTAGCATAATGTAATTAATTTTTTTTCCCGAAACACGTACGAACAAAATATCTTTATTCCTGACCTAAACCCATACTGTAAGCTTACGGAGTTCATTTTTGTTTCTTCAGATAAAAGGGGATAATTAGGACACGTAATAATCGAGAGAGCTTACCTAAGGAGAATTCAGTGACGGCGCTAACAGAGGGAAACGCCGGAGATAATATGAGAAGAAGCCATAGACATAGACACAGAGCCGTTGGAGTTGCAGTACCCATGCTTGTTGTGAGATGAAGGCAGCTGAGAATTGATTTTAAATTATTTTACAAAATTTGTGAACATTTCGAATAAAAGGTTTCTTTATGGGCCTATCTATGGCTCTTCACTAGAAAAGTACCCCAAAAGAATGAGCTAATAGCACAAGCGCCCCCTTTATTATTCCTAATTATCGAAACAAACCCCTGTTTCATAAATTAGCAATTACCCCCCCCTAATAGGCTAATAGCCCATTTTGCTGTTGACTTAGCTAGGCATCACTATACTGCCCCTAGTAAAAAGAAAAAGTAAAATACCTCAAAATACCCAAACAAATTCTCTTTGTCTTCTCCTTAATCCGCCTGGCTCTTATTTTTTTCCCTACCTCTTTTCACACTAACCTGAGCACCGGAAAAACTTGGCAACGGTGGAAGAATTTTTGTACGACAGTTTCGGATTGTATTGAATTTGGGTGGATGCAAGACGTGAGATTATGAGGGAGATTATTTTATGTTTGTGGGCGTTGATTGATCGACCGATGTTTTTGATGTTGTGAAACTTCGAACATAATTATCAGTGGAGAAGTCCATGACCAAAAGTACGAATTTTGGGTTTGTGTTGATTTAGGGAGATGGCTTTCTGAAAATGTTAGGAATCCAATTGAAAATTTTGAGAATTTCATTATGGGACTCACAAAAATTCTGTGGGTGAATCTATAATTTTTATAATTTCTGATTTGTAAGGGTATATGTGTCTTTTCAAGTTAAAAAATACACTCCAAGTTGCGTGATAAGTTGTCAAAGGCTTATTGACTTTGACTAACTTTCATAGGGGTAGTTAATATTTTTATAACGAGCTTTTTTCAGCAATTAGAGATTATATAGGGGTTGTATTTGCAAAAAACCCCAAAAGAATTTGATACAAATTTGAATTACATTTTACTCCTTGCATTACTTTTTAAACAATAATTTCCCTTTTTCATAAACAATAATTTTTTATTTTTTTAAAGTTGTGGAAAGAGGCATCAAGTTTTACTCCTTGTATAAAGTTTTTCAGAAAAAAAAAATCTAAAATGAGATTAATTTAAGGTCGAAAATAATTATACAAGTTGGGAACAAAGATACTTATACCCCTTTAATCACATGGTTAACCCACAATCTAACACTAAACATCCTCCTATTCAAGAAAAAAAGGTAGGCATTAATTAATTCTTTTTACATATCTGAAAAGGCCATTGGAATATATAATCACGTGCTACAGAAAAAGGGTGATGCTTGATAGTTGATTCCATCTTTGCATATTTATTAGTGAAAGAGCCATGGATACTTGATCAAATCTTTTGCTTTTCAAATTCCAAGCTCTGTAATTGTCTGTAAAGCTGGTCTCCACTGCCCTCCACCACCACCACCACCACCACCAGAATGCCGCCCTACACCGCCTCTTCCTCTGCCGCCGCCACTTTGCCTTCTTCCGACGTGGCGGTGTACATCCGTCTGAAAATCCGAAACCATTATATGTCAGGTAATAATATATCTGATTTATAGCAAATGTCACATTCAAGAATCAAAAGAAAAAAATTAAAGAAGCATACAGAAACAGAGAAATAATTAAGGACTTGTGATGAATTAATTTATCATTGTCTGGGACTGGATGGTAGTTAGTTGGTGGAATTCATTGCAATTTATTTGAGAAAATAAAATACATAATCTATGAGATTTACTGATTAAATAATAATTACCATCTGTTGATTGTCAGTTGATGAGACCTTTAATAAAATTACCCCCCCAAAAAGCTAAAATTAAATAAAATCACAAGAGCATATAATAAAAAAAATTGTACTGAAAAACTAATAATTCATGGAATCTTCAAGATTCTTTGGGTTGAGTGAGTGTCCCTTGGCAGTTTAAATACCTTGTAAATTATGCACTAGTTTCAGCTTCACAGCCATTAGCCTTTTCGACCATGCTCTGTGATTTAAATCTAGAATATTTCATTTGGATATTAATTTACATTTTTATACACATATGAACAAAACAATAACTAATTCATTATCATGTCTTCTATAAATCTTTTCGAATCCCATAAAAAATA